AGCAGGTTTTGGGAGGAATTCCAGTGTGAGAGAAGACTTATAGGAGTCTGTGGTTTTAGTCTTGGCATAAATGATAGCTTGAGCGAAAGAAGTGACAAGTGGGGTAGAAAGCGGGAACAGCACCGGAGCAGTGGAAACCATGGCTCATGGGGACTGACTGGATGTGCAGAAGAAGTGAGAGAGTGAAGAGGCAAAGATGATTAAGGCTTTCAGTCTGAGAAAGCAGAATGGCAGAATAAGGATAATAAGTTAATAAATGGGAAAAAGAGAATGTTTGTGGAGGATAATGGCAGTTTCTGTTTTAAGCATTTAAATTAAGGTTGCCAGGAGGGTATCAGGTGAAATGTACATCTGAGGCTAAGGCAAGAGATATGGGTGGGTAGTGAGAGAGAGATTCAGGGGGCACGTGCATAGAGTAAAACATGGAATTGCAAGGATGAGACCCTGAGATAAAGAGAGGCAAATGAGAGAAAAGGAAAGAGGACAGAGTTTGAGGGCCAGGCGAGGATGGTGTTATATGGCAGAAGCACAAGAAGGCTTCAAGGAGAGGACGGTCAGCAGTAAGAAGCACTGAAAACAGGTTGAAGAGAATGAGCACTGAGGACATCCATCCTCTGTTGCTTCCATCGCTCACATAATGTTGCCTGATTAATCTTCCTCAGGTGTAGCTCTGACTACTTCATGGGTTTTACATAGAAGTCTTTCAAGGAAGTTTAGTGCCTATCGAATTAAATACAAATCATCCTTAATATCTGAAATCATCCATCACACATATTTGGCCTAATCTCAGCTTTTGCTATAGTCATACTCTGTGCTGGAGCCAAAACTGAAATATGGCATTATTGTTTCTGTTTCTTCCACTTCTTCTGTGACTTTGTTTATACTGTTGCCTGCTCTTCCCTCTCATCGCCACTGTTGAAACCTTCCTCATTTTGGAAGGCCCTTCTCAGGTTCCTGCTTCTTTCTGGAGCCCTTGATCTCCAGTTGGATGCAATTTCCTCCTGCTTGAAACCCACTGAGGACTTCATGTCTTTTATATCACTGAGTAGACTTGGTGGCCCTGCCTTGCATGCAGGGTGCTTACTCCTGTGATCAGAATACAGACTCCTTGTTTATCTCCTCTGTCACATTTAGCACTGTGCTTTTTACAGAGAAGATGCTCAGTAAACACATTTCTTTTTTTTAAAATATGCGTTGACATCTACTCTATTATTGTGGGTGTGCTGCTTAGCCTTTCTGAGCCTCATTTTTTTCATCTGTGAAATAAAGAGTTGACTTTCAGTCCATTCGTATTTTCCTTTTTGTTTTGGTTTGAAACAGACAGGGTCTTGCTTTGTTGCCCAAGCTGGAATGCGATGGTGTGATCACAGCTCACTATAGCCCTGAACTCCTGAGCTCATGCGATCTTCCTGCCTCAGCCTCCCAAGTAGCTAGGACTACAGGTGCATGCCACTGCACCTGGCTAATTTTTATTTTATTTTATTTTCTGTAGAGATGGAGTCTTGCTATCTTGCCCAGGCTGGTCTTGAATTCCTGGCCTCAAGCAATCCTCCTGCCTTAGCCTCCCAAAGTGTTGGGATTATAGGCATGAGCCACTGGGCTTGGCCCCATTCATATTTTCATTGCCATTATCTTCCTGAAAATGAATCTATCATTATTACTACTTCAAAATCTTTTGTCTTCCATTGTCTATAAGATGAACTTCTTGGTGCGGCATACTAAAGTCTGTATTCTCAGGGCTGTTTGACTTGGAGGTTATAGAAATTCGAACTGACTAAAACTGAGAAAGGAATATATTGGCTTGGCTTGCATTATTGCCTGCTGGCGTCAAGCATGGCTGGGTCCTGGTGCTCACACAATGTCTTGAGGCCTCTCCCTCTTTCCTTGTCCCAGCTCTTTTTTAAAAGTGATTTTACTTTCAAACAGGTTCTCCCTATGGGTGACAAAGATGGCCAATAGTAGCCTTACCAACTCTTGGAAAGAGAGTTCCTCTTTTCCAATAGTTCTAGCAAAAGTCTTGAATATGTCTCTTACTAGCCTGACTTGAAGCATTTGCTCATCCTTAAACCAATCACTGGCCAAGAGGATGGAATATTTTCATTTTCTAGGCCTTGGTTCCCTGTCTATAGAAGTGGGGAAGGGGCATCAGCTCTAGCTGAACTCTGTGGGCAAAGACTAGGGAAGGATGATTCCCCAAAGAGATGCTTTTACTAATCTCTTGCCGTATCTGACACTCTGCCTTGTGCACTCCATGATCCAACTGTACTAAACTTTGCATAAGTTCTGAAATACTCTTTTATCCTTATAATTCCTCTGCCTGAAATTTCTTGCCCAGCCTCCTTTGTTTCTTACTAGCCAAGTCTTATTTATCATCTAGGATCTTGTTCAGTGGCCCCTTTGGTCTGGGGCACAGTCCGTCCTCACAGTACTTTGTTGTCTGGTGGCACTTCTCTTTCACTACCCACAGTACTCTAAGGGTGACCTTTGCTTTGTTGTCTTCATATTCCCAGCCCAGGGTGTGCTGCTGCCAGGCACACAATAGACCTTTCTAAGAAAAACATTTTTTAATTTTTAAAATTACATTACTACTTCGTCTGTTCTGTGTTGGTTTTACTAAAAAATGCAACAATCAGATACGAAAGACCTCTTATGCTCAGCACCAACAGGTCCGCCAAATCCGGAAGAAGATGATGGAAATCATGACCAGAGAGGTGCAGACAAATGACTTGAAAGAAGTAGTCAATAAATTGATTCCGGACAGCATTGGAAAAGACATAGAAAAGGCTTGCCAATCTATTTATCCTCTCCATGATGTCTTTGTTAGAAAAGTAAAAATGCTGAAGAAGCCCAGGTTTGAACTGGGGAAACTCATGGAGCTTCATGGTGAAGGTAGTAGTTCTGGAAAAGCTACTGGTGACGAGAGCTAAAGTTGAACGAGCTGATGGATATGAACCACCAGTCCAAGAATCTGTTTAAAATTCAGACTTTTAATAATGACAAATAAAGAGTCCTATTTGTGATGGTTAAAAAAAAAATTACATTACTAGATATTTGTATGTTGTTAAATTATATGGGTTTTCAAATTTGTCAAGACTAGGTAATAGTAACATTAGTTTAAGAACAGTGTTTCATCAGGGTACTATTTTAATGAATCTTAGTTTTAAATGTCTGTTTCAGTAATTCATGTGAATCTTTCTTTTTTATAGAGGTCTCACAGGCATGAATTATTTACTCCTCCAGTGATAGGCTGTCACCCTGATGAAAGCAGAAGCAAATTCCAGGTTAGAATGTTATCCTAGTAATTTAGGGGGTATAAGTATATAAGTTTGGTATTTATTGCTTAATTCTAATTCACTCCATTTTAAATGAAAATAAACTATTGGTAACTGTTGAACTGGCTAACTGGTCTGGATGCATGTCCACTGCTGATATGGTGCATGCCTAGTATCCTGAGTCCTACAGATCTCTCATAGAATAGAGCTATTCCTTCCTTATTTGGGAAGGCCCTAGTACCATGCTAGCCCCAGATAATCTCTGAGCTCCAAGACATTTTCCTAGTCCTCCTAGTCCATTTGCTAGATACCACACTGACTTTCTGACCAACTTTTCAACATTGTGCTCTGCCTTCACTCATACTCCCAAAATACTGGTCCTTGCCCAACCCATCCCTTTAGTGACCACCACACAGATGTTCCATTAGAATGTGCTATATTGGTTGGAATGAAAACTTTCCTTAAGGTACTAAGGAAACAGCATGTATAGAATGAATAAGAGACTGGCCCCAGGGTTGTTGGGGCCTGAGGAACAGAGGAGAAAGGATAATGTTTTCTGTTGATGAAAAGCAAAAGCATATGCTCTTTCCACTTTTATACTCTTACACTTTGGAAAGCGGCTAACAGACCACACTGTCGCTTTTGTTCTAGCAACCCATCTGGCTGCTGTCAGTCCATCTATGGCTCTGTTCCTGCTCTCCAGCATGCAGAACCCTGCTGGAGGAGAGTAATTAGCTACTCTAACCCATAACTAACTCATTTCCATGAGGTTTTGAATTAGAAGAGGCCTAGCCTCTTCTAATGTTCATTAAATTCTCTACCATGGTAGATCAGAATTTATGATGTTGAGTAGTCTCATAGAAACTAAAACAATGATACTAGATAACATTCAAATTAATGTTTGATGGTAGCACTGTGAAAACATTTGTAGTACTTGACAGTTTCTGCTTTGAATTTTTATCGATATAAATTGTATTAGGTTTTAGAAATTGACATTACTTATATTTTCCTACCAAAGACTGTCTATATGTTTTCTCTTATGTATTAGGTTTCCTATAATAACTCAGGTGCCCATAGCCCAGGAGCATTTTTCTCCTTTCCTCTTTGCCAAAGTAATTTTAAGGCTTAGCTAAGTAATTTATTGTTCTTTTCAATCTTTCCAAAACTGTTTAATTCTGTATCTGTGATGGTATGTTCCCTACTTAAACTATATTTATAGTACCTGTATGATAATCTCCCTTTATAGACTACAAAAACGGTGTGCACAGAAATACTTTGCTATATCTTCGTACTCCTGTGTTGCTTTAGGTTCATGTTTTTTAAGAGTAACTCTAATATTAAATGTTAACAGTGATTATTATAGAATAATGATAATATTCTATATACATAAT